CCTGTCCCCCCTCAAGGACGTGACGGGAGCATCCGGCAGTGCCGTGACAACCGTCGCCGGGAGACGGGCCCGGGCGTCTCCGTGGCAACGGGTACCCAGCGCCGGCGGCGCCATGGCAACCGGCCCTGGCGGCGCGCCCGGCGGCTGCTGTCGCCACGGTGACACCGGCGGTTGTCCCCGGGAAGGTGTGCGAGGGCGCGGTGGCACGAGGGCGCGGTGGCACGAGAAACCCCCCCAGGCCACGCCCGGCTGGCACCGGCACCGGCACCGCGGGGACACCCGGCCCACGGCGGGGTGTGGGGACAGGCGGGGACACGAGGGCGCGTGGGGACACCCGGAGGAGTCAACGCCGGGGGGGTGACGCCGTGGGTGGGGCTGGGGGGTCCCCAAATCCCCCCCAGCAGGGTCACGGGGGCACACGGGGGCACACACGGGCACAGGGGCGTGCAAAGCCGGGGTGGGTGGGGACACCGAGGGGGTGAGGATGGGGGGACAGCAGGGGGACAAGGGGACCCCCAGGTCACGTGTGGATGGACAACATCTCGAGGGTGAGGAGACACCAGGACACGAGGAATGGCAGGAGGACAACGGGTGGCACCAGGATGGGTGACACAAATATGGGTGACACGAGGATGGTGGGTGACACCAGGATGGGTGACACCAGGGTGGGTGACACCAGGGTGGGTGACACCAGGAGGACACAAGGATGGGTGACATAAAGATGGGTGACACGAGGATGGTGGGTGACACAAGGGTGGGTGACACCAGGATGGGTGACACCAGGATGGTGGGTGACACGAAGATGGGTGACACCAGGAGGACACAAGAACACTGGGTGACATGAGGATGGGTGACACCAGAGCACACAAGGACAGGTGGCACAAGGATAGGTGACACCAGGAGGATATGAGGATGGGTGACACGAGGATGGGTGACACAGGGAGGACACGAGGGCAGGTGACACAAGGATGGGTGACACAAGAAGGACACAGGATGGGTGACACAAGGATAGGTGACACCAGGACACAAGGATAGATGACATGAGGATGAGTGACACCAGGAGGACACGAGGATGGGTGACACAAGAGTGGGTGACACAAAGGTGAGTGACACAAGGAGGACACAAGGACACTGGGTGACATGAGGATGGGTGACACGAGGATGGGTGACACCAGGAGGACATAAGGACATGGAGCAACTCAAGGACACAACGCGAGGAGGACACAGAGGAGACACAGAACCCCACGAGGGTGGAAGAACACGGGAGTGCCGTGACACGGGGACAGCGTGACATGGGGACAACGTGACACGGGGACAACGTGACACGGGGACAACGTGATACAAGGACAGCGTGACATGGGGACAACATGACAGGGGGACAGCGTGACACAAGGACAGCGTGACACAAGGACAATGTGACAGGGGGACAGCGTGACACAAGGACAGCGTGACACGGGGACAGCGTGACACAAGGACAGCGTGACAATGACCAGCACCAGCTGTTTGATGCCGTGGGTGTGTCCAGTGCCACGAGGACAGGAAGGACACAAGGACACACAACAAACACCACGAGGACACAAAGCCTCAAGGACAAGATGACACGAGGACACCAGGAAGTCACGGAGGACACGAGGAGCACCCAAGGCCCAGCGCCACGAGGACGTGGGGCTCTGGAGGACACAGTGACAAGAGGACGCAGAGAAGCACAAGGACACCCAAAACCAGGGATGGAGAAACGCAGAGCCACCCAAGGCCGTGAAGGAGGACACGAGGACAGGACAAACACGGCCGTGAAGATGGACACTGCACGGAGCCGTGGAGAAACGCAAGGAGGTGACGACAGGAGGACACGCGATGCCAGGAGATGGGGAGGGCCTCAAGGACACCATGACACCGAGGAGCGCCACGAAGCCGTGGAGAACCACAAGGAGATGGGGCTCCCGAGCTGATCCTGCGCCCACCCCACCCCTCCCGACCCCGCTGCGCCCTCACCTTCCTCGCAGAAGGGCCCGCGGTGGCCGGTGCCGGCGCAGTCGCAGCGGGGCTCCCCACGGCGCAGGGTGCAGCGGCCGCCGTGGGCGCAGGGCGGGTGGTGGGCGCAGCGCTCGTCCCCGTCACCCCGGACCCCCTGGGCGCCCAGCAGCGCGGCCGGCGCGTCGCCCACCCGCAGGTCGGCCACCCACCCGCGGAAGGGCGGCTCGTACTTGACGGTGCTGAGCGTCAGCGCCGAGAGCCGCACGTCGGGCGGGATGCCCCCGACGAACAGGTCGCTGGCCACGGCCATGTCGGGGCGCTTGGAGCGCACGGCGGCCGCCCGCGCCTCCCCGTCCACGGCCAGCGCCGCGTGCCGCGCCTGCCGCGTCAGCAGCACCGCGTGCCAGCGGCCGTCGCTGACCGACGCCGGCGGCTCCAGCGTGGCGGGCTCGGCGCAGGCGATGGCGAAGCGCAGCCGCAGCCGCCCCTCGGCCACCAGCAGCTCCAGGAAGTCACAGTTGCCGCCGTCGTCCAGGTAGAGCAGCAGCGCCCGCGTCACGTTGGTCTTGAGGCGGAAGCTGAGCTGGCCCCCCGCGCCCGGCGCCCACCGCCCGTAGCGCGCCCACTGCCCCGGCGCGCCCCCGAACTCCAGCGCCGAGCCCCGGGCGCCGGGCAGCAGGAGGGAGCCCAGCGTCAGCAGCACCAGGCCCAGGCGGGCGCCCGGGCGGGGGGCCGGGGTGGCCCAGGTGGGCACGGGCGGTTGGTGGCACTCGGTCCCCGGGCAGCCTCCCCTGGCCGTGGTGCCCGGGGGGACCCTCGGCTCCAGAGGGACGGGCTCGGCCTCGGTGTTTTGGGCGTCCGCGGGGCTGTGCTCGCCCACGGGGGCTCGGTGGACATTCCGGTCTCTAAGAGCCACCGGGGCTTGGTCAGCCTGGCTGTCCTGGTGGTCCAGGGGGTCTCGGTTGGCCTTGGGGGCTCGGGGGTCCTCGGGGGCTCGGTCGGCCACGGGGGCTTGGTGGACCCTCAAGTCTAAACACACCACGGGGTCTTCGTTGACCTTGGCCTCTACAGGGGCCGTGGGGCTTTGGTTGACCTTGGTCTTTTGGCTGGCCACGGGACCCTGGGTGACCTTGGGCTCTTGGGGGTCCTCAGAGGCCTGGGAGGGGGCGGGTTCTTGGTGGTCTTTCGGGTCTACGCGAGCCACGGAGCCCTGGTTGACCTTGGAGTCCAGCGGGACGTCGATGTCGGGCTCGGGGTGGTCCTGGGTGCCCACAGAAGCTCGGCTGGCCACGGGCTCCTGACGCGCCTTCATCTCCAGGTGGTCCTGGCTGGCCACAGACGCCAGGCGGGTCGCAGGGACCCGGCTGACCCGAGTCCCCAGGGGCTCCTCAGAGCCTTGGGAGATCTTGGAGTCCAACAGCGCCGCAGAGCCACCGCCAGCACCGGGCTCGGGGTGGTCCTGGTAGCCCACAGAGCCCAGGTGGACCTCGGTCTCCACGTGGGAGCCCGGGTGGGGCACGGAGCCCGGGTGGGCCTTAGTCTCTCGGTGGTCCTGGCTGAGCGCGGGGGTCCAGCTGGCCATGGATGCCCTGGTGGCCACAGAGCCCGGGTGGGCTTTGGTCTCTTGGTGGCCCTCAGAGCCTTGAGGGCCCTTGGGGCCGTGCTGGGCCCTGGGGCCCGGGTGGGCTTTGGTCTCTTGGTGGCCCCCGGGCGCCGGGTGTCCCTCAGCGACCGGGCAGGTCATGGCGCCTGGGCTGGCTGCGGGGTTGGGGGGCCCTGGGGGGGCCCTGGGGGGCCCGGCCACCCCCGTCCTCTCACAGCCACATGGGTGGCCCCAGCGGGCGGCGACAGCCTGGCCGGGGGTCCGGAGGCACCTGGGGGGGGAGACACAGTCAGGGGGGGCTCCGGGGGGGGGGGGGGGGCCGGGGATGGGGGGATGGGCAACGGGGCCCCCCCACCTTCGTTATCAGCGCGTTAATTAACCCCGTGATGAGGGGGGGGGTCGGTCACCGCGGCAACCTGGGCCCTGGCATTATGCAAATGAGCCCCCAGGTTATTTATAACCCCCCCACGTTGGCTAATGGGGCTCGTTAACATGCAGCGCATAATTAGCCAATCACATTAACTGCTGCACCTGGGGGGGGGGGGGGGGAGGGGGGATGACAGCGACCCCCACCTTGGCCCCCCCCACCCCCACCCCATGGGGGGGGCTCAGGCTGGGGGGGAACCCCCAGAGACCCCCAGGGACCCTCGGGGGGAGGGACCCGGGCCTGGGTGCGCCCCTCCCCCTTCCTTGGTTTTCGGCCCCCCCCGGGGGGGTCATTAATTAATTAATTATCGATCACTGATGGCTGATAAAGGGGGGAGGGGGCGCGCGGACCCCCGGGCCCCCTCGGAGGGGTCAGGGGGGCTTGGGGGGG